AGTACCAGCTGAGCTAAACTTTACATCACGGGCAATAAGGTATTTATTAGCCTTAATGTCCAGGAGTCGGTACCCTTTATGTTTAGGCGAAAATCCCAACAACTTACATTCTATAGCCCGATCGCCTAGTTTAGGATCCTTTCGTTTTGACTTTGGTATATGCGCATAGCAAGTGGAGCTCCAAATTCTTAACCCTAACCCCTTTGGTTTATGGCGGTGCAGTAACTCATAAGGGGTTTTCATTCCCAGTCTAGCCATTGGTAGTCGATTAGTGACATCCACCATATAAAGTAGGGCCTCAGGCCACCATTTAGCAGCCATATTAGCACCCCTAATAGCACACCTAACACCAGCCATCATGGTCTGGTGGGATCGCTCAGCACTGCCATTTTCTTCTGGAGATAACATTAGAGCTTTCGAACTGTAAGCCCAATTTATCGCATATTTTGGACACTTCAGTGTTTATAAATTCTGTTCCACCATCAGTCCTTATTCTTCTGACCTTATAAAGAGGAAATTGACACGACAGCTTCCTCAATAAAGACTTAATTTTCCCAGGTACCTCTTTTCAGTATTTTACGATAATGTACCACTTATAAGCAGTGGCGTCATCTACAACAGCCAATGCGTATCGGTACCCAAAAGATCCGTATAAACCGTTAACTCTTAATCGTCCGGTTGAATCCATATGAAGTGTATGTAGTGGTTCATTACTCTTATTTCCCACCAAATTTCTATATGACATTCTTTTGTCCTTCATTTGAGCGCACGTTTTACCGAAAAACGAGACCTTTTTAAGCTCTGAATACGAAATATGAGGAAGACCCTCAATTTTCTGGTTGCTGATAGTCCTAATTAGACGTTCCTTACCGACATGACCCAGTCTTAGGTGCCACTCCTTTAAAAGGTTAGCTAAGTTACCACTCTGAGTGCTAAAAACACGCCATTTAGTCGGTTTAATACTCGGTAAGTTGGTCATTCCCTATAAAAAATAGAAATTCACCTGATTTTGACTGAAAGTGCCTAAATCCCTGTCGAGCTAAATAGTAGGCACTCAACAAGTTACTATCACACTTACGGTCAAATGAGACATCACTTAGTGTTAATACACTCAACCTCTTTTTAGGGTTTAAAACGGTAAGTTTTATTGATCCCTTTAGTGAGCTATGAGAAAAGCTCCCGTTTCCGTAGGTAAAAGTGTGGCCCTGACTCGGTTTTAGGCTCCCACTAAACCAGCTTCGATCTGATGTTATAGCTCGGCCTGCACCAGTATCAACCACCCACATATCATCGGTCAGTTTTAACTTCTTTAAGGCTCTCAAATAGGAGTGATGCTGCTTACGTACCTCCTCTTCGATGTCGTCCATATGTAGTGGGGACCTGACAGGGGTATTCGGCACGTTGCCACCATCCTCAAAACCTTTATGGTAGGCGGGGTCCAGATCCTCAATGTCGTCCATCTCCTCGTTCTCAATGCACTCTTCCAGAAGAGTCTTCCCACACTCATTTAGGCGTTTTTCCCCTCCTAGCACCACCGATTCGAGGGTATTGATCGGGGTTGTCTTCGCCTTCTTGGCCTTCTTAGCACCCGGTGCAGTGTTGATATCGGTCCTAAAAAGGGGTCCACCTTCGCGGTTAGGATCCCTATCAGCGATCATCACCGAGCAGTCCGATTTAAAGTGTCCACTCTTGAGGCAGTAAAAACACCTTTTTCCACCCTCACCTGCACCGCTTTTTCTCTTGACCCCGACATTGTTGACAGGAATCGCTTGGGTTTTATCCATTAAACCCACTTCTTTTCTTGGATCGGTCACCAAAGGTCTTG